GTATGTATAAAACTTCCCTATTTGAATCAGATATTATTAAATTTTTCATTGATTTTACTTTTTTTCGTGGCACCCTATTTTTTTCGATAATAAAAGTAGCCTAAGTTACTCCTTATTTCATCAGCTATCTGCCAGTGAAAATCCCATCAAAATCGGTCCATCCATTTTAGAGATTAGCCGGAACGAACACACAGACAGACAAAAATTGTAAAAAATGTTGTTTTGTTATATGTACCGTGTAAACATCCATATGTATTTAGTAAAAAAAACTGTTATTTTGACATTATAAACAGACACTTCAATTTTATTTATCTGTATAGATAAAAAAAAACGGAAGGTGCGTACATTGTTTTATGTCGCCTACCCCACGTACTATCTACTTACAGTCATGAATATCGATCAAAAAAGTACTAGATACACAATCAATACACAATAAACGACAAAAAATGTCCTCATCAAATGAGCGCTCATATGAACATATGAGCGCGCTTCAATTTTTTTTGTAAAAACAACTATAAGAATTGCACTTAAGGTTTAATTTAGATTGTCGTAATTTATTACAACTAGAGTAATTACCTAAACACAATTGGTGACAGTTTAAAGAGAACTTTTGCACGGGATTGTGTATCTAGTACTATTTTGATCGATGGTCATGGACGAAACTTTCGTCACGAATGAATATTAAATGTTAATCATAATACGTAGTAAGAAGTCAATGGTACAATGTAACCCCTGACGTTGTTAAAAAGCAGGTTTTCAACTAGTATGATTATTACTTTCTCAGATTTACGCGAATATTTGACATTTTAAATAAACTATCTTAATTTAAATAAATAATATTGCTATATTTAATTATAATATTCATTTTTTTTAAATGTTTAGAATTAAAGTCAACAAATATTGCAAGGTACTTAGTTGCCATTTTTGAATTTTTGAAATAATTATTGTAAAATAGTAGGTAGGCACTGTCTGTAACAAGTGTATTAACGCCTTTGAGACGTCTATAACCTTAGTTAAGTTAGTCTCTCCCACGACCATGATTAAAAATAAATTGCTGTACACTGTAAAGCAAAACTGTCGAAACGTTGGGAACCAAAAATCAAAATAAATTCGAGAAATAATCTAGAAAGATAGTTTTATTTAAAAAATATGATTAACTTAAACTTTTATTTGTGTTTATGTGTTGAAAGTTTTAATAGGTATACTATTTTTAAACACATATTTCATTTTGATATAATCATTATATACTTACCCCATACATATAACATATTAGAAAATACGAAAAGTTTTTTTTATAATAATTTATTTTTTTATAAATATTAATCGTATATATCATGTACTTTTTATTTATACCAATATTTTTTATGTAATATTTGAAAAAAAAGTTCTAACTTCTAAGCAACACAATTATATGCTATCCTGAATCGCGCTATTAAAGTTTTTCCAACCGCTATCTATATATAATTTCAAGACCGTTCTTCGTTCGGGATCCGCCGCCTTGAGGGAAGCCAGTTGCCAAGCTGGTCTAAGTTGCGCACCCGTTCAGATGAAACTTAAGATGTAAATCTTTAGGTTTATAACAAATGAATGTTGAAAATAATACATGAAGAGTCCGTAACTAAAGCGTAAGCTTGTTTCAACCTCAAGGACGGTGCCAAGGCTAACATAGCCAATGCGATTCCACTTTTGCCAAAATTGGTAAAATTATTATAAAAATATAGTTTTTGCCCGCGGGCCCACTTGCGTTAAAAGAAACGTACATCATTTCTGATTCTGAATAGAATATAGAATCTATATAGATATTAAATGTATAAAATATAGATACGTGAGCCTTTTTTTAATTGAATGAAAAATGATGTTAAAAATCTTATTCTGTCTTGTGCAAAGCCGCGTAAACTTTATGGACTTCCAAAGATACATAAACCCAACGCTCCGCTACGTCCAATTGTCAGTCAAATCAACTCCGACTTATAAATTGGCCTAAGTAGTAGCGAAAGTAGGTACTCTCATCACTCAGAGGACAAACGTCAGCGTTCACAAGGGACTCTTACCATTTTGTTAATGAGATAAAACCCCTACAACTCATGGACAATGAAACAATGGTTAGTTTTGATGTACAGTCTCTATTTACCAGCCTACCAGTACCTAGAGGACTGTGTCAATATAGTATCAAGGAAGCTATTGGACAATAGTATGGAAGAAAAATACACTAAACTTTTTAAACACTGCATTACATCGGGATTCGGGCTATCTATTGTGGAATGTTGCAATTTTCAATAGGGAATATGGCTGGTTACTACGATATCGTCGTGGAATCCAGTTAAATCTATAATATAAAAATGAATCGCTGAATGTGTTGGTAAGCGCAAATCTCGAGAGCAGCTGAACCGATTTCGCTAATTCTTTTTTTAGAATATTCCTTGAAGTACAAGGATGGTTCTTACGGAGAGAAAAATTTAAAAAATTGCCTGAAGAAGTCTAAAAACAACACTTTTCTATACTCCCATACAAAAGATTCGTAATAATACTTAAAAGTCAATTTGAACTTTAACACCTTAACATAAAGTTTAAGTGTTAGTGGAGAGGTTCCGGGAAGGCAAAACATTGATGACAATTGAGTGACGTTAGAATCGTATAAATATTAATGTCAATATTTGTCAATATTATTAGCAAAAAAAATTAAAATTTATATGGCTAACGCTGGCTAATAACTATTTATTAAAAACGTACCTAGCGACAAACCCGAGCGAAGCGAGGGTAAGCCGCTAGTTAAATAATAAATCTAAACTTAACAGACAGATGTAAGTTCTTATTGTGCGGATCAAAATAACAGTATTTCAAATTAATATTTTTCATTTGTAAATGTATGTACAAGTAAGTATGTAGTAAAAGTGTTGCATATTATTTTGTTATTTGAATAATAGCAAATGAATTAAAAATTATTATTCTTAATAAATTTTAACTTTTTAAAATTACATAGAACAATAATGTGGCTTGAATAATAATATTTTATTTTTCTTTATGTATACATAATAATGGCGACACTAAATATAGATTACTAATTAATAAAGTTTTCAATAAAAAAAATGTTATAATTTTATTTTAACAACAATTAAAATTAAATAAATACTTAATATTCCATATTCAATTATTGAACTTATTAAAATTATAAAAAAGTTTTAAATTAAAATTTTACAAATATTGTAAGGTAGGTAGGTACTTTGGTGCAATTTATCAATTTTTTGAATTTTTTTTTTTTGTGAGTAATTTCAACAGAATTCCTCCAACACTTGTGAACTCCATAGGTATGGTACATACATACTCACATCGATTTTTATATTATATGATCAGATGCACTTACATGTAACGATTTTAGCCGAGTTTTAACAACGAAGAGCAATTCAAATTCCGAATATGGCGCGATGTGACGTCATTGTTTTAAAATTTAAAGTTTATTTAAACTGCAGTGGAATTTTTTGTCTTACAATATTAAAACCAGTTAAAAGTTATCTAATTTTTACATGTCGGATTTCTATCTCTTGGTTTTATTCATTTAGATATACCTAATATTATGTTAATTTATTGTTGAGAAATCTAGTTTTTTAGGGTTTTATAACCATATCCCTGCATCGATAATAATAACTATTTCAATAAGATTTTCCAACAAACATTGAATGTAAGTACAGATTCGACCGCTAGAATCTTATTATTATTAAATGCATATTTCATTTTTATATGATTTATACTATTTTATCATTAGGTACATGTAACTTATTAAAAAAGTACAATAAAACAAATTACAATAATGTAAGGGCTTATTTTAATCATCAGATCAAAATTGTAAATAATAGCAAAAATAAAACAAATTATATTATTCATATAAAACATTTATTTTAATTCATAATTTTATACCAATATTTTATGTAGGTAGTGTACCAATATTTGACATAATAATCCTAAGCATCAGAATTATTACTGTCATCCTGAATCGCGCTATTAAAGTTTTTTCAACCGCTATCTATATATAATTTTAAGACCGCTCTTCGTTCGGGATCCGCCGCCTTGAGGGAAGCCAGTTGCCAAGCTGGTCTAAGTTGCGCACCCGTTCAGATGAAACTTAAGATGTAAATCATTGGGTTTATAACAAATGAATGTTGAAAATAATACATGAAGAGTCCGTAACTAAAGCGTAAGCTTGTTTCAACCTCAAGGGCGGTGCCAAGGCTAACATAGCCAATGCGATTCCACTTTTGCCAAAATTGATAAAATTATTATAAAAGTATAGTTTTTGCCCGCGGGCTCTCTTACACAATTTGCGCATTTCTAAGGTTCGTGTGAATTTTTTGCTTAATAATATATTTAATTTTTATTTTCTTTTTAATGATGTTCTTCGAGCATGTTGCGTGACACCTATGTAGTATACATATTTATGTATGTACATAGTTTAATCAAGTTAAATCTGCTAATAAATATGTAGGTATAGATAGAAATACAATACCTACTTACAAAAAATTATAGTATTTAACAAATGGTAGTGTTAGTATTTTTTTAAACTTGAATGAACAAATTTAAGCCTTTGCAATTTTTATAGGTATGTATTATACTGTATAGGTATCGATTTAAGCCGAGTTTCGACGACGAAGACCAACACAAATTCCGAGACATGGCGCGATCTGACGTCATCATCATCTGCGTCTTACGATATTAAAACACGTCAAGTTACTTAATTTTTACGTGTGGGATTTTTACATGGTTTTTTATAATTAGGTATACTTAATATAATATTCTTATAAATAAAACACTGAAAAGATTAAAAAAAAAAATTTTTAATGAGTAACTGAAAATAATTACAATTAAATTAATTTTTAACAAAACTAGCACAAATTACAGTAAGTTTATAAGGGCAGAGCGCAATGTTGCTTTCTCGATGTCTGGTGACAAAATGAGCCCTTCCACTCATCGTCTCCTATTTATACACGTGGTCACGCAGTACATGTCTAAATAGTGTTGCCATCTAACACGGCCTCTCCTGACATGGCAGCGTCCTCGCGGTCCTCATCAGTCCTTGATGATGGATCAGCACCATCTTGGTCTTGATCTTCATCGCAACTTTCAAAGAAGCCAGCACATGTGTCGGGCGTCCATTCGCCACGCCACAACACCATACAGCCAGCAGCTGCTTGACTGGTTTTACCATATGAACCAGCTAGCAATCTCAGTTCGTACCTGTCGTTAGGTAGAACACTTATGACCTTATATGGGCCACGCATGCCACAATCTAATTTGCCAATACTCTGAGATCTCTTGATGACAAAGACTAGGTCATTTACATTGAACCTTTTTGGAGGATTTCTATTCTTATTAACATATGCGTCTTGTTTAGCTTTATTTTTATTAATTAACTCATCCGCGCGTTGTCTACGTAGCTCACGAGTTGCCTCGCGGTTAGGATTTGATCCTTCAAGTGCAACATCTCTTATTAAAGAATTAATTACTGGCGTAGTGGATTCCGTGCCAATTAATAGGTTTAATGCGGAATACTGTGTAGTCTTATGTTTGGTAATATTTAATACTAACTGTAATTTCCATAAAACCTTTGACCATTCATTTGCATTATTATTAACCTCTATCCTAACCATATTTAACACAGTACGGCAATATCGTTCCACCTGACCGTTTTCCTGATGCATCTCAGGCGTAATAAAGTGTACTTCGATACCAAAATCATCTAACCAACGTACAAAATTCTGATTATCAAACATTCGGCTTCGATCGCACACAAGCCGCTTGAAAGTGCCAAACAAAGATATAGTCTGAGTTATTACGAGCTTTAACTCGTGACTATCCTGTCTGCGCAAGCCATACAATAAACAATATTTTGTATATGCATCAACTATTATAAGTACATACTTAAATCCGTTACTTTCTCTAAGCGGACCGAGTACATCAGCATGTACTGTATCAAACGGTACAGGGATCTTTTGCCATGAAGATATTGGCTGTAAAGGAGCGCGTGGTACTTGTTTATGCGATATGCATATGACGCAGTGTGTTATATACTTGGTAACAAATCGTCTCAATCCCGGAAACCAAAAGTGTTTAAGAATCAAATCAATAGTTTTGTCTATACCCAAATGTTCATGTTCGTCATGGAATACACGTAACAAACTTAAACGAAACGCTTTAGGGACATAACATAGGTAACGCTCTTGCTCGCCTTCACCGTTGTACTTATAATACAAAAGATCGTTACGTTTTACATAGCGATTTGAATCTAGCTCACCGTTATTTAACTTTTCTAACAGCGATAAAGTCTCTTCGTCACCCGCCTGAGCAATTTGCGCCCAATTAAGAGGTTTCTGAACGGCATTAACAACGTTAACCGGATTTCTACTTAAGTAATCTACGTGTGACATCAAACAACCTTTGCGATATTCTAAAGCAAAATCAAAATCTTGCATATAAATCCACCAACGCGCTACCCTAGGTTGAAGATCTTTCTTGCGCTGCGTCATTTTTAATGCATTACAGTCTGTTACTACCGTAAAATGTTTACCTATTAGGTATTGACGAAAGTGTTGCAATGACTTTACAACGGCTAAAGTCTCAAGTTCATAACTATGATACTTCGATTCCGCGCCTACCGTCAGCTTACTAAAATATGCGACTACGCGCTTACGACCATCTTTATGTACTTGCATTAATATACCGCCGTAGCCTACTGCACTCGCGTCCGTATGTAGCTGTGTAGGTAATTCGGGATCGAATATCGTTAATATAGGCTCGCTAGTTAGATATGAAATAATTTCCTGCCTAGCTTTTTCCTGTTCATCACCCCAATTGAAAACAACGCCTTTTCGAGTCAAAGCAGCTAAGCAAGCAGTTTTAATTGCGTAACTAGGAATGTACCGCCGGAAATAACCAGCCAGGCCCAGGAACTGGCGAACTTGTTTAACATTACCCGGTTTCGGAGACTCAACCAAGGCCTTAACTTTATATTCGCTCGGTCTAACCTGACCCTGACTGATTAATCTGCCTAAGTACTCTATTTCATTAGTGAGAAAGTTACACTTCTTCAAGTTTATAGAAAACCCGGATTCTGTTAAAGTTTTTAGAACTGCATCTAGTAAAACGAGATTCTCATTAATTGAGTCGCTCATAAGAAGCACATCGTCGATATAAACAAGGACTTTATTAGATTCAATAAAGGGTTTTAAAGTTTTACTAATAGTTTTTTGGTAAATAACAGGAGCGTTAGCAAGACCGTAAGGCATTTTACAATATTCATAATGCCCTTCAGGCGTGATAAACGCAGTCTTATGTATGGAATCCTCACTGACACGCAGCTGATGGAAACCAGAAACCATATCTAGTGAACTGAACCACTTAGCTTTACCAAGCATATCTATATGGTCGTTAATTAATGGGAGCGGGTGTCTAATTTTCACCGTAATCTGATTTAAGGCTCTATAATCAACTACCATCCTGTCTGTACCGTCTTTCTTTTTCACAAGTAAGATCGGGCTAGCATATTCTGACTCCGATTCGCGAATTATGCCTTTCTCTAATAAATCTTTAACTATAGCGCGAACACGTATTTTCTCGTCATAAGACAATTTATATGGTCGGTAATATATCGGAACGTCACTAGTCAATTTAATCTGCATTTCACTATCTCTAACTGTAGTGGTAGCAGTACCGGTTAAAAAGTAATTGGAATATTTACTCAAAACATTTAACAATTGTTCCCTAACCTTTCCAGTAACAGCTGTCGATACATTCTCTAAAATTGATAACGAGTTTACTTGAGTAATATTATTTACATAAGCACTACTGTGAACAATACACTGTGTGTCACCGGTACGAATATAGGCAACACCTTTTCTATTTAAAACGTCGGTACCAATAATTACGGGCACATTTAAATGACTCTTATCCACAATATAAAAATCAACTTCTAATGTGATATCATTTAACTGTATCGGTAATGTAACCATAGACGTTGCTACAACCTCCATACCGCCTAAGCCTCGTAATAATTGGTGAGCTGGTTTTATTCTACACGAAAAGTATTTAATTAAATCAGATATTATCAGAGAAACACTTGAACCGCTGTCTATGAGTACATCGACGGGTATATTGAATATGACAGCCGTAACTACATCAGGATTTTTACGCTCACCCTCATTTTCGCGACAAAAATTAACGGTGTTATTATTTCTAACGCGTTCCTTAGGAAACACTGGATTTCCGTATGACCTAACTTCTTACAAAAACCACACTTGTCAAGTCGAGGTTTTGTTGAAGAACTACCCCCACTGTTATCGGAATTTTTGTTTTGAGTTTCTGGCTTAGGTCGTTTGGGGCAAAGATCACGCTTATGACCTACCTCGTTACACTGATAGCAGCGGATTTTAAATGTGTCAAAAGATTTTCGTTTTAACTGGTTATTACTGTTACGATTTGAAACACTATGAGTACTGATTTTCTTATTAGAATTAGATACACCACACTTTACGAAGCTTGACAAGTATTCTACTATACATTCAGGTGTTAATTTAGCGTTCATTGCGGACGCACGAATCTGTGGGTCAGTAATGCCCCGTATAATTATAGCAGTTAGCAATTCACTACTTAACCCTTTGACGATGCGTAATTTTAGTAAAGATTTACGAGCATATTCGGCGTAAGTGGAATACTTGTCAGACTCAGTACACATAACATTATACAGAATGTTCGCAATATCGACAGACCGTGGACACAATGCTTTCAATTCTAATTTGAAGTTAGACCAAGTACGTGTGGTACTCGTCCACTCGCTAAGCCAGGTGCGTGCTTCACCTTTAAGACAACGACCTATGCGAGCAAGGCATTCACTATCCTCCCAACGATTAAGAGATTTAGCTTTATCAACTTCATCGCACCACGTGTCGACATCATGAACACTCGGGTCAAAATCTGAGACAAAATATTGATTCGATCTCACCGGGAATTGGATGATAGCGTCTAGGAAGCGTTCTGCAACGCTTTTTGCGTCGTTCCCCGCAGGCGTCGATGTGGCAGCGACGTCTTGTGCAGAAGCTGGGGGTGCGCAGGCAGGTGTTGTGGCAGGCTCCACAGCTGGCAGTGGCGTGCTTGGCATAGTGAGAGCTCGGCAGGGCTCCGGGGTTACCACCGAAGCAGATAGAAGCTCGCTCCCGCGTGCCCGTTCCTCCAGATCTTGTAGTCTCTTCAAAATCTCGTTCAGAGTATTAGAAGGCGAGGGAGTACGTGTACGACGCCTCCCTTTCCTTCTAGAGTCCGCAGGCATTGCGTCTCTGCCCAACTTAATCTCAATGATACAATTCTTCGACAGAGAATAAAACACACCATAAAAGATCGAGAATTACCTACTTCGTCAAATTTATAAAATCAGTCGGATTCTCGGGCGGTTAAGGCCTTCGAATCCCACTTCTGATCTTATAAATAAAACACTGAAAAGATTAAAAAAAATAATTTTTAATGAGTAACTGAAAATAATTACAATTAAATTAATTTTTAACAAAACTAGCACAAATTACAGTAAGTTTATAAGGGCAGAGCGCAATGTTGCTTTCTCGATGTCTGGTGACAAAATGAGCCCTTCCACTCATCGTCTCCTATTTATACACGTGGTCACGCAGTACATGTCTAAATAGTGTTGCCATCTAACAATATGTTAATCTATTGAGTAGTCTAGCTTTATATATATATATATATATATATATATATATATATATATATATATATATATATATATATCTTGTTAGCAGTAAGCTAAGCTACTGGCTAATTATACTAAGAAGTAAATTATTTAAAGATATTAAACAAATACTTAACTTCTAGTATGTTTAAATGTTACTATATTGTTATAATATGTAGGAAAAATAAGCCACATAACTAAAAAATAAAAAATTAAGAGAATCCATAGGCTTTAGGCAAGAAACGTGCTTGTTTTTGCTATATCGTAAAAACCGTAGTAAGTTTTTGCATTCTACTTATGATTATTACTTCAGTCGTGATTAGAGTGCTAGCTTTAAATAAATACAACTAAAATAAAAATGATTATGTAAGACCTGAATGTAAGTCGGACTCGTGTTTAAGAATTTTAGCAGCTAACCAACGTTAGGCCTTATTTATTGATATTTTTATTTTTATTAAAAAATAAAAATTTGTAGGTACCTATTAAGGTACCTACTTTATTTTTACCCCATTGCGGCAAAGCCCAAAGGAAGGTTATGCTTTTCACCTGTATGTGTATGTATGTTCGATCCTATGTTGGGTATATGGTGTTATTAAAAATCAAAATGACCGATTGCCCTTACCAAAATGTATTTAATAATACCAAGGTGTTTAACATAATTATACCGTTTGAGTTATTGTTTGTTATATGTTAACAAAAATAAAACTAAATACTACAAAGACGCAAGTAAAACACATTCTTGATAGAGGAATAATAAGTACACTGTCTTATTCTCTTCACAGTCTATAAACACGACTTTCATAGCTAATTTTGAGAGGAGATTGGACAATATAAAATTAATAAGATATTATAAATCTTCTTCTTCTTCTTCTCCCTACCCATTTCCCAAATCACTTGGGGTCGGCGCAGTACATCTTCAGTGTACTGCTGATAGGATTTGGCAAAAGTTTTACTTAATAAGATATTATAAATATAAAAACAAATAGGTGAATAAGACAATATCCATTTTTTATAACATTATTATTTTATAAAAATATTTTAGAAAGTAAAATCTCCATACCAAGTCTAAAGGATTTGCAAGACATTTAAATGAAAGTCCTTTCAAAGGAGGTTAACGTCGAAGTTACTAGAAATCGTATTTATGTATACCTACATAATATGTCACATTCACTGATGTTTTAAATTTTTAAATTTTAACAAGCTTGTAGGTTGTAGCATAAAATGCATAAGTCTAGCTCGAAATGTTGTTAGAAAAATACACTGTAATGATATATTGGATAATATGGAGAACTTAAATTTATAAGGGCAAAACAACTAAGTACATATAATAAAATTCTGAGTCGATTTATATTTTTTGGAAAATCTTATTGAAATAGTCATTATTGATACAGAGGCTGAATCTATAGTTTATAGAAGTTTTAGCTGTCTGGGTCTGTCTGTCTGTCCGGGAACGCATGAAGAGAAAACCACTGGATAGATATTGATGAAATTTAGTATGGCGATAGCTGGTTATTCGGGTCAACATATATGATATAGGATACTTTTTACTGCGGTAAAATATCTCATCTCTGAGAAATCTATACTAAACGTTAAACGTAACTAGGGAAGAACCTGATCGAGGGTGAATCGCTGTTTTGTATTATATCATTAATTCATAATAATAAAACCATTTTTGTCTGCCTGTTTGTTACCTTTTCAGGCGTAAACAGTTGAACAAGTTTCGATGAAATTTGGCAAGATCAAATATTAACTATTTAGCCTATATCTCATTTATTATGCGAGAGGAGCCCCAGGCATAATAGGTGTGCTTTTTTTTTATTCTGCGACGCAACGTCACGAAATCTGTATGGTATAACAAACAAATTACAGATATTTTATTATAGCGAAGATTGAAGGACTTTAGAAGTGTTAGTTGTATGTTCAATTTTTTTTTATATTTTAGTATTGCTAAGGTTATTTTAAACTGTGCTTTAAATAAAATAGCTTGTCTCAAGAACAAACCATTAAGAAATTCTTAGAATCCTTTCGGTTACATTCTATACTTAAAGTAATTATAGCATCACGGTATAAAAAATAACAGGACGTCTTTGATCCCAAGGCAAATGGCGAAAACGTCTCGCAATAGTAAAGCAGGCAAAAAATAATGTTCATTTATGATATTATTTATTAAGAAATCTTGCTTCTTAGAATTAAAACATGTTAGGTGTGTTATTTTCATTAAAACTAATCAGAGATTTAGAAACTGTTGAAAATTCATTTAACTCTTATTGACTTGAAAGTCCTTTATAATGTCGACTTTCATCCATTTGCTTCTGGATAAAAAGTATTTTTTACTACTTATACCTTTGGGCAAAAGATTCATGAATTAAGAAGTAAAAATACTGTTATTTTTTTTGCATTTTATTTACGTAGGTAGTTACCGTTAGCTGCTATACTGTAGTTTTCTCTATAATATCATCCGTATTAATATTATAAATGTGAGTTTGTGAGTATGGATGTTTGTTACTCTGTCACGATAGAACGGCTGAACGGATCTGGATGAAATTTGGCGCAGAGATTATAGTTTGGAAAAGCATAGGTTTCTGATAAACATAGGCCTCAGGAACACCTTTGAAACGTAACGCCCACCAGATGCTTTGACGAGGCCCACAGTCAAAGGCCTTCTGCAGGTCCAAGAATGCCAAATGCAGAGCTCTCCTACTACACTATTTGATCCGTATTTCCAAATCATGTGTTTTGTAGGAAAAAATTTCTTTTCTTGTTTAATGTTAGATTACCTCAAGATTAAATCGTAAAACAACCTGTTCGTAATAAATTTTAGTTTACTAGAAAGTTTAGTAATTACACATAAATTTTCACCAAATCCGGCATAAGGTACCTTTCTTTATACTTCTTACAAAAACGAACTCACTACTCTCGTCTTTATAGACAATGCCAGATAGACATTAAATAATTAAGTAAATTCATTCAACCATTGCTTTGAATGCACAAACAATGCTAACTCCCCATATAACAAACGGAAGCCGGAAGGTCATTGACCTACATATTGTATATTCGAGTAAGACGAAATATGAAACGTTAGCCACATCATATGAATAAAACAACCTGCATATAAAACCATTGCCTTTATTTAAATCACAGTATGTGATATGTTTATGTCATTCTTCAATAAAAACCTTAAAAGTATCTACTGAAGAATAACTCAGTAACATAAAGTATATGTAACCTACTTATATAAATTAAATAATATAAAAATGTGTACTTTATAAAGAATTTATATTACTATATTGTTACAATATTAAAAAAAAATCGTTATACGCGTCATCTGAAGTCACATGGCTCGTGAGAACCCGTGAATTTTATTTTAGTCATCGATCAAAAAAATATAATAGATACACAATCCCATGCAAAAGTTCTTTTAAAACTGTCACCAATTGCGTTTTATTATTCAAGTTGAAATTAAATTTAATGCTTAGAGTTGTTTTCACGAAAAAATATTAAAAGCGTGCTCAAATGTTCAAATGAGCGCTCATTCAGTGAGGACATTTTTTGTCGCTGATTGTGTGTGTATCTAGTACTTTTTTCATTGATGATACTACTGGAAGTTTATGAATAAAAGAAATACGCATGTTACATAAAAATTACAGATTATTACTTATTACCGATTACTTACATAAAAATATATAGGTACTAACGTTTATTTTTACACCAAAAATATTACAAGATAACATAAAATTAATATACATTCGAATTCATGGTGTAAATGCGGCATTATCACTAAAAGCGACCTGTTTAGGATCTTTTTACAATTATAACATATTATTTATTACGTACATACATATTTATAATTATTATTTAATTTATTCGTCCTCCAAGCGTTAAATTAATTCTATTTACAACGACGAATGAATGTATGCTGTATAACATTTTTTTGTTATAAATAAGATTAAATTAAAAGAAGCAACTATAATATATTTTAAATTAAATTATCTTGTTGAATTTTGTCGTAGTTTTATTTTACAATATCTTTTGTCTTTTACGCGACCGTGTGTGCTGTAAAGCGCGAAAATTCGAAACGTCCAGAATACAAAAAAAAACAAAAAAAAAACCGCGAAAAAATCCGAAATTTGATAGATTTATTTAAAATGTCAAATATAAGTTACGTAAATCTAAATAAAGTATTTGATAAAAAAGAAATATTACAAGAGCATATAAGACGATCTATTGATATTTAAATTACATATATTCTGGGTTTATCACAGGGAGCTTTGGAGATTATGTTTGTAATTTAAACTAACATTTAGCTTTTATCATATGTACGAGTACTTGTTGGTTATCATTAATTGCGTTTTAATATAATAATAATAATAGGTGTAATATCTATTACATATTAGAAGACATTTAAATAAAATCATATATAGCATCTATACATAATATAATAAAATTGTAACTGATCGCTGTCTGTACATGGAAGATATTTGAGAAAAAACGATTATTGGAGGTCTTCATTAACGCAATAGAACCCTAAACTTATTATTATACTATTTTTGTCTGTTTGTCTGTGCGTTTGTGTAATCTCACAAACGGCT